GGAGGCAAAATAACATTCATCTAGAATCCTGACTCCTTTTTCATTAGCTATGTGATCCTTGCAGCTACTTCCTAAAATTATAATAGCTTACATGTGTGGATTTTTGTTAAGGATTAGCTTACACAACATATAAAAATTACTTGTAAAAGTTCCTGACAGATAGCTAGCACTCAGCTTCAGTTAATTTACTTTCACCTCCTCATGATATTTCTGTACCTTTCTGTTCTATATAACTGTTTCTTTAATGAAAGAGGCTTACTGGGATTCTTTGCAAAGATGAGCTATGTATGTGCTATGCTGGAAGCCTGTGTTTGGAGTGGATGATAAATAGGGATGGAAGGGTAAGATAATTCAAGAAAGGACAGAGGTATGTCTGCTCTGCACTCTGTGTTTTCTAATAAGGAGCTGTTGCTGCCTTTTCTTCTCTTAAATCCACGCTTGTCCCATTCCTGGTTTATAACTGTTCTTACTTCCATTTCTTCCCTTCAGCACATGGCTGCTTGTAACTCTAATGCCACTCCTTCAGCTCTCCATTTCCTACTGGGAACCTTATTTCCCAAAATACATTGGTGAGAGGACCCATTGGGTCTGCACCTGTCACTGGCCAACTCCGAATGGGTGGGGTTTGAGTCTGGTGCCTACCAACTGTCCCATCATCTGTGGCTGGAGAATGGGACTTGTGACCTGCATTGTCCCGTATTTTCAGCAGAAACTGTGAGTGTTGGGAGGTAATTCATGAGTTTCTTCTTTTTCTTCTGAGCAGGAAGCATTGCCAGCTTTGTTCTGTAGTACCTTCTCAAAGACATCTATACAGAAAAGTCACATATGTGAAGCCCCTCCCATCCTCATATCAGAGGATAGATTGTTTCCTGACCAAGGAAACCAAGTCTTACTCTGGGACAAAGGTAAGGCAGGTTTGCCAGCAGGCCCTTATAAGGCCAGGGGTTCTTGGAATTTCTTCGTCTATGCCATAGACTCACTGTGTGTGTAGCATCCCTAGGGCCAGGCTACGTATCACTCCCAAGACATGGGGGCAGCAGAGAATGAGGAAGCTCATGTGCAGTAGAAATAAAATCCTGTCTGTGATCTGTGGGGGTCTCAGATATTCTTTGTGAACCCATGGAACCTGTGAGTTTATTAGCTCTGACAAGAAATAATGTTTCTAATAGACTGGCTGTGAAGGGTATAGTGGTGACACCATCTGACACAGCTTTCTATCCTGCCTCCTTAACGTCACCTACATGCAGACTAAGTCTACCTGAAGGGGTTCCTGTGGGTCTTATTTGGGGGAGAAAAATACATATTACAGCAATGCAGTGGGGAGAGAACCCAAAGTACTGCCACAACACTGCTCTTGCTCAGCGAACCTTGCTAGCACGCTCCGATCCAGCACCTTTGGACAGTGGGCACAGCTGCTGCTGGGCAGGGACTGTCCTAGCTCGACTCTGTTTGTAGTCTCAAGAGTGCTTTTACATCCGGTTCATCCACCAGCTGTCGAGTGTCATGAATAAGCAGGTATGACAATAGGACATGGTGCTTACTCCCTGTGAAGCCATCCATAGTCAACATTCCAGGCGTGTGAGCCCTGCTCCACCAGCACTCTATGTAGTATCTGGCACTGGAGGTGACAAGGACAGTAGGAAAGCAGTGTGTCAGAATAGTTTGCTCTATGTTCCATTTTTGGAGTAAAAACCCTCTGGATGCTTACATATAAATGCCTTGGAGCACAGGGAGAAGGTAATATTCAGGCTGTAAGGATAGCAAATAGATTCTCTGTGCTATAGCACAGTTTCTGGTAGCTAGGCACCATGGCAAGCTCCGCAATCATTCTCTGCTTTGGTTCTCCAGCCTTGGAAACCACAAGAATGCTCTTAAGGCCAAGATGAAACCCTTCCTATCTAGTGAACCCAGCTGCTCTAAGGAAAATAATGTCCTCACCGCAGAGGACACTGCAGGAGGCTGCAGCTCAAGATGGGCAGTTACTTGTTGGGTTTGGTGAAGATGTTTATTTAGTAGACTCAAGGGGATGCCAGGCTGACATACAATGTACACTAGTCCATTATTTTCATAAACTTTTTATTTAGGAAACTTAAACATCTTTCAGACAGTATTAACACAATCAATTGTAGGTCATAACTAAGGTGCGCACTTGTGCTTCACTCCTCACCCAATCTAATTTGCTTTCTGGACAAGGTTGTGTAAACTCCTCATCTCTTAAATATGAATAAAGGTAAACTTCTTTATCTTAAATATGAATTTAAACTAAATTATGACTTGACATTCTGTAATGGCACCAAGCCTAGAGAACTGCAATACAGAGCTGACAGATACCTGCTCCAGGTCAAGAAGAGGAATTATTTTATTTGTTGAGGCCAGACTGGTCACTATGACAGCACATACTGAAACTCCTTAGAATAGTTGTAATACGGGCTTCTTTTAACAGGCAAATAGAAATGAAATAGTCAAAAAGAACTATGGACCTGCTTAAATTTAAAATAACATTTAAGGATTGAAATGAAAAAGAAACCCATTATCAAATGTCTATTTCTACTAATGAAACAATCTGGGGCAAGTTCTCTATCTGGAATGTTCACAATTGTGGCAGCTGAACAGCCTTCTTAAGAAACCAAAATTTCTGAAAAGTCCAGAAACTTTGAAAAGGGAATCTAGTGGCTTATAGACAGATGTCTGCATAAGTGAGATTTCACTGGTTGGAAAGACAATAAAATGCCACATACCTCGGCGAGATTGCCTATGCAGGACAATTTAAAGATCTCAAATTTCCAGGTGAAGATAAGAAGTTCTCATAGATCTTAATAAACAAGGAGCTTCATTGCCCAAGGTGTGAGTTTTGGTCAGAAAGTATTACGTAAGGAAAAAAATGTCTGTAACAATTTAGCAAAAACAGTTAAGGCAAGCAAAAGCTAGCAAAATATTCTTCAGATATTTGAATGTAGCTTATGATCACCCCATTCTTAAAATCAGCCTGCAACACAACTTACTTTATAACTATTAGTACAGGTGAGGTTGTTCCTATCCAGGACAGTGGCAACAAGTGGAAGAGTCCTGAGGCTCTTGTCTAAGAACCAAGGTGCTCTGGCCAGCACTGGGTCTCAACTCTTACTTCTAAAACTGGGACATTACAACCTACCTTGTATTTAACTAGACAATACAACCTTGTGCAGATTCATTATGACAATTAGTTTAAAACAGAGCCTAGAACAATGTCTAATAGAACTTTGTAAAAGGGAACTATTCTTAAAATGTAAAAACAAACTTTTAAATGACTCTTAGTGATAAGAAAAGCTGTTACAAAGGAAAAGAAATTATAATGGCTGGCAGATTTATACAGATTGCACACTGGTTAATAGGTAATGTTATATTCTGAAAGTATACAGACATTCCCATTTTTTACTATAAAAATTGAATATTTATTATTAACTTAAGAACACAAAATGAAGTTAATAAGCACATGTAGGCCTGGAGTCTTTTAGTAATAATTTTAGCAAAATTATTAACTTTTGGTTATTTTGATTTACTGAAATTCCAAATCCTCTAAACTCCTGTGAGTTAAGATGCTATCAAGGTTTTCATCTGAAATATTCATCAACCCTAAAAGGTAGTGCTGATATCAGTGATAGCAAACAACCATATTTCTATGACTTTTAAGATAAATGAAGAACATTTTTTTCAAAACTCTCTCCATGCACCGACAGTAGTACTCAACCTATCATTTAGGTTCACTAGAGAGAAAACAGAAGTGCGGTGATTAAGTAACCTGTCAAGGTCCTGTTACTTTAAAAATCCTATTTTTCTGAGATGGAAAAATAATTTCAAAATTTATAAAAAAATGACAGACAATATATTGAATTCTAGGACAGATTAATATACAGATGAGTAATTAGAAAAGATAGCAGTATGGTTTCACTAAGAATGAGGCATTTCCAGCTCTAGTAGGTTCTAGAGCTACTAGTAGGTTGGGTTACTTCTAGACAAACGCTTTGCCAGTTAAACATGACAAAATTTATTATGGTGGCCTTTAAAGAAAGATGCAGAAACATGAGCATGTTAGTAATTGACAGTTACTTCAATTACTGTACCTATAATACTGACTCACCTGGGGGTCACTCTATCTAACAGCATTCTAAACAGTAATTTCATCCTGGTCTGGCAGAGATATCTTGAAAGCTCAGAGTAAAGTAGGAAGCTTGATATAGGAAGAGGTGGCCACACAGAAGAGATGAGACCTTTCTGTCTAGTTTTATGTATGTGCTAGTCCTAGGGAAATTTGAGTGAAATTCTTGCTAACAATGAAGTTTACCCCTTTCAGGTAGTAGTGGTGAATCGTTCCAAGTTTGGAAGCAGAAGCTGGAAGAAAATCATGTAACGACATAATTTTAAAAGGATTTTGGTCCAAAAGAAGAATGTACCATTGTTTCTAGCTCTAACACTGTATTTTTTTTATTTTAGCAAATTTGTTTGTTCTGGAAGGGAAAATGAAAATTCTAAACTTTCTAAACAAAAAGAACAATTTTCTAATTCAATGTGGGCATAACTATCAGCACTCATTATATACCCTTTTAAAATGAATGTGATCTTTCAGATCTTTAGCAATCACAATAATTAAATTTGATGATATGCCACACTTGATTTGGAGAAATCCCTAAGAGTGGTGGGACTCTGTCCTGAAATTTTGAGGTTCTTTGTAGTCCTCAGTCAGTGTGGAAACTAAGTTCTGCTGAATTCACAGGATTACTAAAACCATCAGGCAGGTGGGGACAGAGAGAGAATAACCTCTTCCTTCCTTCCAGAAGTGCATCGACCACTTCTGTACAAGCAGGCTTCCAAAGGGCCTTCTAAGGTCAAAGACTGTAAGGCCCATGTGCTCTGGAGCAGAGTCCAGATTTCTTTAAGAGCTGTGTTCTTTGCTATTAACTAACTCCATCCAGGGGTTATATTACAGAAATGATATGATTGCACAATTAAATATTAGAAAAGACCACTGAGTATATCCTGTTTATTCTTTATGATTTACATGGAAAATGATGGACTGAGATTGTAGAACAATAGACCAATCATTACATTTAGACCTGGGCTTTTGAAAAACTTGCATCCATTTAAACAGTTCATATATATTTAACAGCTTATATATAAATCCAGATCACAAATAATCTTGAGTTAGCTTAAAGATAAACAAGAAACAAAAGAAAACCACATGGGATCTACCTTTAAATATCAGCATTCACTTTACAATAAGAAAATGTTAAAAAAAATAATTAGGTCAAGTCACTTAACATATATATAGTGAAAAGAAACAATATTGTTTTATATTTATATGTATTTTAATTTCCTTTCATATAGTCTTAACTTTTCAGAAAGATCTAAGATGTGATAGAACAATATTTGTGTCCAAACTTGTCCATCTCAGCTTATATACTTGTTACAGTGAAAATCCTAAAACCTCAAATATCGTTTTATAAAAAATGTTTGAGCCAACTCTAATTCAACTATTTTTCCTTCATAGCAGCTGTTTGTAAATAGTGGGGAGCCAAGAATGAAGGATAGTAACAGATGGAAAGCAAAAAGTACAACAGCTATCTTAACTTTAGCTCTCCACACTGCTGGTTGAGTTTGGAACCATAACCTCTTAACAACTGGCAGACAGTAGCTAAATCTTAACAGGCAAAGAAGATATATTTTCTTTGGGACAGCTGCTATCTAGGAGAAGAAAACCAAGGTCCATTAATACTGCCTAAATATAATGGGTGGTTTTATTACAGAGAAATCTGTAGTAATGTCAGTTTAACCACTAAGTGTCACAACTGACCAATATTCAAGAAAACAAACAAATAAAAAGTCACACTAGCCACAGATTTCTGGGAACCAAGAAAACATTAACAAAAAATCACACTAACCACAAATTTCCACAATATACATATGAGAATTATTTTAATCTGATTTGACTCCTTGACACTACGGATCAATGAAATATGGTATGGAAAGATCACAGAGTAGAAAACAAGCAAAGATTAGTTTATACAACAATGACTATATACATCAGAAGGAAAAACATGCTAGCTAATGCAACATTAAGGCCTGAATATAAGCATTTCCAAAGTCACAGAAGCCCCCAGGGAACCCCTAAATTACAAAGTCACCACATTACATGCATGCAATGTTCAGTTTTGTTTTACCCATAAAAGGATACACTGTATTTTGCTGTAAATACCAGACACATTTACAATATGTTCAAAAATTAGAATGCAAGTGTTATATTAAGCCTCAAATGTGCCAATGGTGAAAATTTATTTTAAAGAATGGAGAAAAGAGATGGAATATAAATATTCCAAGAAATTATACAAATAAAGTGTAATTATGCATTTGGGAAAGCACAGAACTATTCTTTTATGTGTCCAAACTAAAATGCTGATGTACTGCTTGGATGGATGTACACTCACTAAGTGCTTTACTATTTTACTTGCTCAAATGCATATGTTAATACCCATCATCTGGTGTTGCTATCAAATCACATCTCACCATGTTTATAGATACTTGCCTGCTGGATCTGATCATCTAAAAACAAAACAATCTTTATTTGGGGTTATAAAGTTACAAAGCTAACCCTCTGGGTCAAATTTGCAAAAAATAATATGGATAGCTAATTTCCTCACTTTTAAAGAAGTTTGTAAACAGAACTCTTTCAGAAGGTAAAAGAGATCAGGGTCTTTTTTTAATCTTTTAGAGAAAGGAAAATAAGAAAGGAACTCTGTTACATATTCAGTTTTGTTCACATAATCACTAGGATAGTCAAGATCATCTATACCTTTCTTACCATGGCTTAATCTGGCTTAATTTAAACTACCTATTTTTATCTTAGTTCCAGGTGAATAATTCATAAATTTGAGTAAAGAAACAAATACTAATAACGTAACATGAACAATCATTGTTCAGATATACTTTAGATATGGTATAAAAAGGTATGGTCAATCTGTCCTTTACCTCATAAATGTTATGCTTTATACAAATCAGTACAATTAATCTAGTTTTCTAAGTATTCAGAATTCCTTTTAGGATGCAACAGAACGAGCATTTAAACATTTTATAATTTTCATAACTTTCCAAAATATTTCGAAACAAAAATTATCTTAAACTATGTCTAATATTTATTAAACAAGTGTAACATGAGTGTCCTTCACATACACATTTGCATATAATTTTAACCAAATAGAAAGTCTTTTTATAAAGTCATCTATTTCATCTCATATGCTGAGCTCCAAGCATACTGGTTGTTCATGTGCTTTACCAGCCTTCCCTGAAAGCACCAGCCATCGTAAAGCAGTCGTATGCATTCTTCTTCCTTTAATTAAGCACACTCACCATTTAAAAAAATAATTTATTTTATTACCTAACCCTTTCAGGAGTATTATATTTAAAATTTTAAAATTCTGTGATGCTCTAGTCAGAATTGTAGTGTTTGGCATTCAAAAAAGTCCTACCAAGGAGGGAGAATAGACACCTTCCTAAAAATCCACTCAGTTTTATGAGCCAAAAGATTTTGATATAGCGAAGCAAAGGGACCAGTGAGAAAGCATGCTTTAGAATTCTTTTTATTTCCAACAAAACCAAATTTTACTGCTGTTGTGATCACAGTCTTCACATTTGATGCAAATAGGAGAGCTCAATTATAATCACTTAGTGGCAGTACTTCAGACAAAACCAATAATGTGTGCCACAAAGATGATTATTTCTTCTGGAGAGATTTAATTGATAAGCTTGACTTTACAATTAATATCAACATATTCAACTAAAGAAAATGGATGCACTGCTTCAACATTCAACTTGAAAATGTTTAGTACTTTCTGCAAACCTAAACTCAGTTTAGAAAGGTTAATATTCTCTTTCTAAACAATGGCATAGACTATACATAGCATTTAATATATTTATATATAATTATTTGCACATCAGATTTAGAAGGAATTTGCAGATTTACTTTGATAGACTGAGCTCCTTCCAGTTTCAAGTTTAGGAGGCTTCTGCAGTACTGTCACTTGATGGTGGGGTATCGTGGTCGGGCTCCGGGGGAGCAGCTGCAGAGGCTCCGATAACAGCAGGCGGGAAATGACGGCGGCACACAGGGCATGTTCCTGACTGGAGGTACAGAAGAAAACAAACTCAGGGGGATAGAAGGTTTTAACTGCCACAAAAGTATTATAATAACTAAACAAGTGGCATTATCTTAAAACCACATCAAAAAATTTTAAAGCAGAAACCAAATATACTTCAAACCCATACAACACAGAATGGCAATATTCTGATGCTATTTTTGATTTTACCCTAATCAGACTGAATTTCCTTGAGGATAAACATTGCTGCTCAAACATTTTTGCATCTTTTAGCTCACTCATCTCTCACATTAGTTAAGTCCACTGCACTCCCTGCTTTGTATTGGTGTAGTAAGAGAGGGTATGCAAGGAGTCACACAGCATGGCTCACCAGACCAGAACTGTTTAGTCTACAGCACTTATACAAGAAACAATGACCCCAATTAATTCACATATTTATTTCACTAAATCATTCTCAATCACAAGTACTACAGTTTCACTTTAGTGTAACACAGATATGTCAAAACAGATAGACCTTAGATTTGTCAAAATAGACAGACTTTCTTTATAAGTCATTTATAAGCCTTTTAAAAAAGTCTTTCTCTTTTCAAAATGATATTGAGAGTTAGCTGGATGAATTCTAAATGATAATCAAATCAACCAGAGACTTGAGAGAGAAGTGGCTAAGGAAAGGAGTAATAATTGGGAATGTACTGTTTTAGGACCAACAGAAAATTCTATATATTTATCATCTAGTGAAAGATTCTACCCTTGCAAATTGATCTTTTCCCCAAAGAGTTCTCCTTAATAGAAAGCAGCATCAAGAAATCATGCTGCTGAAGTTAACAACAATTTGTATCTTAGGAATTTTTTTCTTCAGAGGAAAGGCTTTGCTGCACACTAAGCTGTTTCCTGAAAGGGAATAGAGAGACTGTAACCTTAGGATTACAACAAAGCCAATGACAATTCAATGCTGTACAACATGTATAATAGTGACAATGCAATGCCTTAATTTATTAAGGATGTACTGTGCTCTTGGCATACAGATGGACCCTAACAGCAACATCTGAGTCAGATGAGTATGGTCTCAACCAGCCACATAAACCAGCCACATACTGTATAACCCTGTACAAGTAAGAAGCAATAGAAAATGTCAGTAACACCACCAATATGTCTTAGAATAATGAGTATTCATAGGGAAAAAATACAAGAATCATTTAGCAATGCAAAAGTATACAGCAAATATAGAAATATTAGCACCTTTAAAGTCTGATACTATTGTGGGAGTTTAGAGGAAGGGGATATGGCAATGTCAAGGACAAAAAGGAGGAGTTTAAGCTGGACTTATTAATCTTACAGATGGCACTGGGGAGAAGATCACATTAGGTCATGCACACGTAAGCTAATGTAGAGGGGGTACATCTGAAAAGAGAGGCTGGGAGTTAGATCAGAGAAGTCCTTGAAAGCCAAGTCAGGAACTTTAGATTTTATAAAGGAATAATGTGAACACTTCTGCAGTGGTGTTTAGAGATTTTAAGTACAGTCTGATAAACATGAAGAAGCAGAAGAGGGGAACAACAGCAAAAAAAAAAAAAAAAAAAAAAAAAAAAAAAAAGAGTGAGAGAGAAGGGAGAAGGGGAAGAAAAGCGAGAGAGAAGAAGGAAAGATCAGAGATGAAAAGGCAGTGGTTCTAGCTAGGAAAGAAAGCTAGTTATGTCCATAAGTTAAAAAGTTGGGAAAGTGATTCCAATAGAACAGATGTAAATATTCTTTATGAAAAAAACAAAACTCACAGAGGAGATCACAGTAAAACTTGACCTCATAAATTATTCTAATATACTTAAAAATTGTAGGGTAAATGCTAAGGATGAAAACATGAACAGGAAGTACACAGTAGATCACTATAGCTTTATCATGCACATTTTCAGAGACATCTGTCTATATCAACAGAATATCTGCATATGTTATAGAACTCTGAGTAGTGTCAAAGGCTGCTTTGATTGAGATCCTTTTTGAGAACATTCAATTTCAAGAATATGATTAAAGATCTTTTTTTAATGCTTTTTAACACTTAATAAAAAGGCAGTACAATAATGTAGCTAAAGAAAATTAGCCTAACAAACACTATGATCATCATTAACTTATAGGAGAAACTTAAGTGTTAATTAAAAAAATAAATCTAACACTTACCTTCTGTAGCCAAATTGAGACACAAGGTTTGTGAAAGAAATGGTGACAGGGTAACTCTGTTGCTATATCATCTTTAATATACTCGCTGCAACAGATTGGACAGCACTGTTCCTGGCCAATAGCTGAAAACAACACACAATATGATCAGTCACATATGATCAATTTTGATAAAATTAAAAATCAATATTATTAATTCATAAATGAAACCTATGAAAGACAGAGAACCAGAATTTGATAAAACAATTGGCAAACATGTTTCCATCTAATATATGACAATGTGGAATTTAGTGAACACTGCTTTTGTAGAACACCAAACCTAGCCTAAAGTTAAAAAATATTTATTGCCAGGATGTAATCAAAGTTTCTAATAGCATTTTCTCTTCTAAGTGCACTGATAACATACTCAAACATCCGATGTGTTGTTGTCTAAGATTCAAGATCAACTATGCCCTTACCAGTGTGATCTTCAAGAACAAGGGTCTCTGGAAGACCATCAATGCTCTCCTTACTGGCTGGTGGATTGGCCACCTCAACATCCACTGCAAGAGACTCTAAATGTGCTAGAGCAGTCTGAAAAAGAAAAGTCAGTTCTCTTTGTTAAAAAAAAAACACTAGAAAACAGTAATAGAGAAGTAGAAAATGGTTTTTGAAGGTACTAACACTTATCCATGACTATTTTCTTCCTGTTAATTTTGTTTGCTTTAGTCTTTTGCCTCCTTTCAAAAAGAATTACCATCATCTCAAGCAAACAAAAAACAAAACAAAAAGGGCCCTTCCTTCCATAAATACAAAAACATACCTTGTGCCCAACACATTTATATTTTCAGAAGCACAATTACCATTTTGGACTTTAATTTCACCAGTTCATTAGTATAACTAGGATATCTGGGTTGTGAACTTCATTTAGGGGTCCAAATGTCTGTATAAAGTTACTATTTGAACAAGGATGCAAAGAACACCAGATCATCTAATCACATAACATGAGTAACCCTCATTCTTTTTCTGGCTATAAGCAGATTAGAAATCTAAGTAGGCAAACCCTATTTTATTGTGTTTCACTTTATTTGTACATCACAGAGTTCCTTTACAAAACTTTCCACCAGTAAAAACATTATGACTCACTGATTGTACAGATGCTCAGTACATTTTAGCATTAAATTTTTTTATTAGTAGGTACACATTTTTTAATAAACATAATGCCACTGCATACTTAATAGACTATAGTACACTATAGTTATAAACATAACTTTTATATGCATCAAAAAATAAACTCATATAACTTGTTGTATTGAATATGTGCTTTTTTGCAGTGGCATGGAACCAAACCTGCAATATCTTCAAGGTGTGCCAATATCACAAGATCCAAGTGGTGGGGCCAACCCAAGTATCTATTGTTTAACTCAACTTATAAGTACAAGATTATTAAAAATAACTGTAGTTACAATAGTCAATTAATATACCTACCTAATAGGTATATTAACAGGTAGTGACTATTAATATAATAATCAATTAATTAGACTGTGACATCAAAAATATAGAAGGGGATAAAAGTGTAGACTTTTTGTATATAATTGAAGTTAAACATTATGAACATAAAAATATACTACTGTATCTATGAGATGTTTTAAGACTCACAGTAAGCAGAACAAAAATCTACATTACAGACACAAAAGATAAAGAGAAGAATCAAAGTCAAGTCACAAAAGAAAGCAGCAAGAGGACCATAGAACTAGAAAACATCTGATGGCATTAGTAATTCCTTATGGAGCAACAATTGCTCTCAATGTAAATGGACTGATGGATGGGATTAAAAAGATAAGATCCAGTTATAGACTGCGTACAAGACTCACTTTAGCTTTAAGGACATATGCTGGCTCAAAGAAAAGGGATGGAAAAAGATATTCCATGTGAATAGAAACCAAAAGCAATCACAGATGGCTACAATTATATCAGACAAAACTGACTTTAAGCCAAAACAGTAACAGAAAACTAAGTATTATTCATAAAGATAAAAGGGTCAATACATTATGAGTATATAACAATCATAAATAAATATGCAACCATACTGGAACACCAAAATATAATAAGCACATTAAAAAAAAAAGATCTACAATGGTACAATGGTATTAGATAATGAAACAGTAGCAGTGACGGACACTGATACTTTCAACAATGGATAACTTATCCAGAGAAAGTTAAAAAAAAGGACAGTGGATTTGAATTACATTTTTGATAAGATAGGTATAACAGACATATATACATCTTATACAACAACAATAGAATACATATTCTTCTTAAGTATTCCCCAGGATGGATCAATGATCAGTCAGAAACATGAGTAAGCAAATTTAAGAATGCTGAAGCCATACTAAGTATCTTTTCCAACCCAAAATGATAAAAAACTAAAATCATTAATAGAAGGAAAACTGAAAAATTCACAATTATGTGGAAATCAGATAACATGCTTCTAAATAAAGTAATCAAAAGTGAAACCCAAAAATATCTTGAAAAAATATAAATACAATATGCCAAGACATATGGAATGAAGTAAAAGCAGTTCTGAAAGGTCTTTATAGCAACCAACACACCTACATTAAGAAAAAAAGACATCAACTACATGTCACAAAATGAGAAAAAGAACAAACTAAGGCAAGGCTACAGCTGGCAGAATCAAAGAAGTAACAATGATCAGAATAGAAATAGAGACCACAAAGATAAACACTAATGCAGTTCTTCCTAATTTTTAAAAATTTAAAAATTTAAAAAAATTAACAACTTTTACAAAGTTGTTAATTTGTCTGTAGTATATGAATTCTCTCCTCAAATACAGTTCTTGTAGTTCTACCATCATGGCATCGTTGATCCATTACCAGGCCTTTGTGTAAGGTAGTTTTAGAAGTGATAAAAGTTGATAAATCTTTAGCTAGAATAAGTAAAATATTAAGACAGAGTCAAATAAAATTATAAACAAGACACACAACAACTAATACTATAGAAATACAAAGGATCACAGGAGACTATTATAAACAATGATGACCCAACAAATTGGATAATCTAGAATAAACAGGCAAATTCTTAGAAACATACAGCTTAACCAAGATTGAATAAAGTAGAAAATCTAAACAGAGCAAAAAGATTGAATGAGTAGTCAAAAACTTCCCAATGAAGCTCAGGAAGAGATGGTTTCCTGGAAAGTTTTATCAATGTCAATCCTTCTCAAATTATTTCAGAAAACTAAAAAGAAGGGACTATGTCTGAACTCATTTGAGAGGCTAGTGTTAGCGATAAAGACATTACAAAAAAGAGATTGATAGTCCAAGATCTCTGATAAACTAAAAATGAAGAAAATACGTAATAAAATATTAGAAAACAAAATTTAAGCATCACACTAAAAGAATCACATACCATCACAAAGTGGATTTATCCTTGGGATGAAAGATGATTCAATATATGAAAACCAGTACATATGACATACCAAATTAGTAAACTGAAAAATAAAAGTTATATGATCACCTCAAAAGATCCAGAAAAAGCAACTGACAAAACACAGCATCCTTTCATGGTAAAAATAAAAAGAAAAACGCAGGATTGTTTCACTCACAGCAGGAGTGTAAAGGACCAGGGGGGATAAAAAGACATAACCGTAATAAAGTAAAAACGAAAACAACAACGAACAACTATAATCCAGAGGCATTTTATGGGGGTAAAAAGGGGAATGTGAGCAGAAATGGAGTGGGAAGAGTGCACGGGACTATGGTGATGGCACATGGGTGGATTGGTATTGGGAAGCCCATAGGGATTACAACTGAGATGAAAAAATGCACAAAATAAAGAATGATGTCTAAAAAAACAAACCCAACATATTACATTGGGCACAGAAAGTCATGTATGACAATTCCTGACTAACTTCAGAATCAACAATGAAAGGCTGAAAATTTTCTGGTAAGATCCAGAAAAAGACAAGTGTAACCATTCTTACCACTCTTACTCAACGTAGTGCTTAATTAAAATATCAATTGAGAAAAAGCAATAAAAAGCATCCAAATCTGTCAGGAAGATGTAAAATTGTCTTCATTTGCTGAGATGATTTAATGTATAGGAAATCCTATTTCATCAAAAATTGTTTGAACCAATCAGTGAATTCAGTCAAGTTACAGGATACAAAAGCAATATAAGGTATCCATTGTATTCTTATACATTAACATTTGAAAATAAAACAAACATTCCCAATTCACATCAGCATTAAAACCAAGAAGGTGACAGTGCATACAGTGAACTGTATGATTAAAGAAACTGAAGACACAAATAATGAAAGATAACCTATGTTCATAAATTGAAAAAATTAATATTGTTAAAATATCCCCATTACCCAAAGTCATCTATATAATCAATATATAATCCCTATTAGGATTACAATGGTATTTTTATGTAAGTAGAAAAGAAAATCCAAAAATTTGTATGGAACCACAAAGACACCAATGCAATCTTAAGAACAAACCTAGGTTAACATAATTACTGCTTTAAGCTATACTACAAAATCACAGTATTCAAAACAGTACGGTAAACCAATAGAATACACTCACAAATAGAAAAAGAATTAGGAGTTCAAAATAGGCTCTGAGGTATACATACAACAAATATTTGATAAACATCCCCAAAAAACTCAACAGGGAAAGGATATCTTTTAAAAAATGGTGCTTGGAAAATCATACGCATAAAGATAATCATATGCATTAAGTTGAACACCTATCTTACACTGCTCACAAAAAATTTATTCAAAATGGCCAATAGACTTAAATAAGACTTCAATTGTCAAATTACTATAAGAAATTGGACAATTTTTTATTTGACAGTGGTCTTGGCAAAAAATTCTGTGATATAACAAAAACAAAGTAACAAAAACAAAATAAGACAGCATATTAAAATAAAATCTGCAAAACAAAAGAAAGTGTCAACAAAATGAAATCCACATGGGAGAAAATATTTGCAAAAATAATTTATGTGATAAAGTTTAATACCCAAAATATATAAAGAATTCATAAAACAGTAACAAAAACAGGACAAAAAAAGGAAAGAACTGAACGAACTTTTTTTTTCTGAAGAAGAGATTCAAATGGTCCAAAGGAGCATGAAAAGATACTGAACATTACTAATAATCAGGGACATATAATAAAAATGAGATTATCACCTCATACTGATTGAATGACTATCACTAAAAAGATAGTAAATAGTAAATGTTGGCAACTGTTGGAGGACATGTTATTGGGAAAAGCCATAATGAATGTTCCTTAACAAGTTAAAAATAAATCTATCATATGATCCAACCAACGCACCTATATCTAAAGGAAATGAAGAGATAGCTGCACTCCTATATCCACTGCATTATTCAAAATAGCCAAGATATGGAAGCTTGTCCATCTACAGATGAATAGATAAAAATGTGGTGTATCACACAAAGGAACATTTAGCCTTGAGAGAGAAGTAAATTCTCTCACTTTCAACAACATGCATGGATCTTCGGGGAATTACAAACAGTGAAGTAAGTCAGAGACAGACAGACTGAATGACAT